GGCGGAGATCTGGTTATGTGAAACTTCAGGCTCAGATTCACAAAGTCCATCCATCCATCTTCTACCGCTTACTCCCTTTCAGGGTCACAAGGGAACCTGGAGCCTATCCCAGGGAGCATCGGGCACAAGGTGGGGTACACCCTGGACAGAGTGCCAGTCCATCGCACAATCAAATACACACTCAGACACCCATTCATACACTACGGACACGCCCATCTTTAGACACTACCTTTGGACTGTCTTTGGAAACCGGAGGAGACCCCCGCAGCACTGGGAAAACATGCAAACTCTGCACACACATGGCCCCGGTGGGACTCGAACCCCGGAGGTGTGAGGCGAACGTGCTAGCTACTGAGCCCCCGTGTGCCCCAGATTCACAAAGTTCCAGAAAGAATATTTCCTTGCTTCGGTATGGTAGAAAGAAAATCGTTGCCCCCTCGATTTTGCCCCCTCACAGCTCCAGGGTCGATACCAAGCTCGAGTGTCACGTGTCGTCCCTGTGTCCGTGTGGGTTTCCTCCATGTTTTCTGATTTCGTCCTACCTCCCGCAAAATATCCCGGTGGACGGCGTCTCTAAATTGAACTAGCGCGGGAATGTGTGTGATTTTTCTGGTGTCCCATCCAGGGTGTGTTCTCCTCTCCTTGACCCCGACCAGGATAAGCGAATGAAAAATCAGAAGAGTGTACTGCTTCGAATCGGCTCTCTAGCTGTCTCTTTCTTGCTGCTACATCTCTGTTTAGCATACAGTGACCTCTCTGTCTGTCTGTCTTACAGGTGATGACACCTTCAGTATCCAGCACGAAAGCACAGGTAAATGCTTCCTGGCTCAGGAGGGCTCTCTGATACTGGGAGACTGTTCTACGGCGACGGCCCAGTTGTGGAAGTGGGGCTCAGGACATCGGATCTTCCACACGGGTTTATCTGCCTGCCTGGGACTGGACATTCTCTCCAAAACGCTGTCCCTCACCAAGTGTTCCAACGATGCCGTTTTGCAATGGCGCTGCTACGAGGGCTATATTATCACCACCTTTCAGATGAAGCTGAGCGTCACCGCCAACGGGACCGTGACAACCAGACGGGACACGTCTGATTCCTGGAGACGGGGAGGCACTACGGAGGACATCTGTGAACAGCCATACCAAAGTAAGAGACTCCACCGAGTCATACCTTTTAAGAACGACTGATTGGGACCCTTTATGAAAAGGAGCACAAATTACTATAGAAAAAGGAAAAACGCAATCAAGTGATTATTTTGCACTCAAATACGCCAGTTATATCATTCCAAACGTCGTCGTCATCGTCCCCCCCCACTGGTTTCAAAACGATTGCAAGCCGTACATTTAATATCTTGTGACGCCTGTCGTGGAGAGAATAACAGCATGGATTCTCTTCCTGTAAAGTATAACGAGGGTGGAGACACGCAAACCCCCGGTTTTCAGTCAGGTTTAAATCTGGAGACAGCAAGGTGTTCCTTGAAGCGTTACTGTGATGATACCGGTGGAGGTAAGAGTGTCTCTTCTTTAACAAGATCAAAGCTCAAAAGTCTGTACCCAAGTCTGAACCTCCTGATACAGGGAATGAGGTTTTGGTCTGAAATATCCATCTGCTTGGCATAATTCGTGAAGCAGTCATTCTTCACACGAGACCCAGAAACACCTGCCACAAAGCAGCCTCGAAGCAACAATTACCCACCACCAGGTTTTACAGTGGCTATCAGGTGCTCTTCTTTGAATGCAGTGTCCTTTTTTGTTAGTTTTTTTTTTCTTCCCAAACAAACCATAATGCTTGATTTTCTAGTCACAATACACAGTATGAGGTACACAATGGCGAAGTGTAGATGCCGCTAAGATGCGCTCAGGAAGGGCGTCTTCCTTGTAACAGTTTCAAACAGCTTGTTGCTTTGTGCAACCACAAGCATCAGCTAAACAGCGCAATTCTGAAACCGTGATCTTTGGGCTCCCATCCAAACCCCCCCCCCCCCCGCCCCCCCCCCTCGCAATCCACCTCAACTGTTTGTGTGTTGGGAACAGTGTGGTCATGGGTCCATGTGTTTGAGACACGTGAACGTTTTTGTTATGGCCCTAAGTGTGTTAATTTTGTATGTTAACCTTTATATTTACAGTTCCCTCTGAAAGAATTGGAACGGCAAGGCCAGGTATTTTTGTTTTCGCTTTATACTGAATACATTTGGGTTTGAGTAAAAGTAATGGAACAGACAGTCCAAGTACGTTTAAATTTTAAATAACACTTCATATTTGGTCGCATAGCCCTTGCTGGCTATAACCGCATCAAGCCGGCGACCTGTTGACATCACTAAACTGTTGCAGTTTTCTTTAGGATGCTTTTACCCCAGGCTCTTTCAGTTGTTTGTTTTGGGGGCATTTCTCCCTTCAGTCTCTTTTGTGAGTTGGCAGTTTTGGGTCATTATCTTGCTGCATGGTGAAGTTCTTCCCAATTAGATCGGATTCATCTCTCTGTAAATTGGAAGACAGAATGTTTCTGTGAACTTCTGAATTCATTTTGCTGCTGCCCATCATGCGTTACATCACCAATACAGATTAGTGATCCTGTTTCAGAAGAATCCATGCAAGCCCAAGCCACGACACTACCTCCATCATGCTTGACCGATGAGCTTGTATGTTTTGAATTATGAGCAGATCCATTCTTTCTCCACACTTTAGAATTTCCGTCACTTTGGTTCCAGAACTTTTCTGACTGCTCTTTGTGATTTCCAATCTGGCTTTCTGATTGTTACCGCTGATGAGTGGTTTGCATCTTGTGGTATGGCCTCTAGACTTCTGCACTTGAAGTCTTCTTTGGACGGTGGATTGTGATACCATCACCCCCGCCCTGTGGAGGTTGCTGGTGATGCCACAGACTGTTTTTGGGTTTTTCTTCACAGCATCACAATGTTTCTATCATCAGCTGTCGTTGTGTTCCATGTCTCAATTGTTAGTACACCAACGGTTTCTGTCTTTTTCAAGACATTCCAAATTGCTATATTGGCTCTGATCGATTTTCTCGCTTTTCTCAGCTTCACAATGGCTTGATTTTTCTCCCATAGACAGCGCTCTGGTCTTCACATTGGTTTATCCAACGTCTTCACAGGCGAAACATGTGCACGAGCAAACGAGAGCTGAAATTCTGATCCGTCGTCTCGTATTCATCTTCTGAGCGCGAACCCAAATGTCTTCAGTGCGTAGCGCAAACAGCAGAATTGACCCTGTTGTTCCAATACTTTTCGGATGGGACTGTGGCAGAGCGATGAAAGCAACAACAGTCTGTGGAACGGAGAGCAAATGGACAATATTTAAAACAAACCTTTCAAGAACGTGTGCGTTTCATTTAGATTTGAACATGTTTCTGAGCGAAAACACTGCTGTTTAAAACACAAAAGTATATGCACTGAGTCTAAAGTTAGTTAGCGATAAAAGAGTTGAAAATATCCAATAGTTTGAATAGAAAATCTAAATCTAAATGAGTGTGTGAAATGTTTACGCAATCATTTTTGCTCATTTTTTTTTTTGCGAAGAGTGCTAATAATTCTTGAGGGCGCTGTACATACAAATGCATATAAACGTAAAAATAAATTGGTTTGGGTGAGGAATTCTGTAAATATTTCCTTGTAGAAATCCCAGGTTATTTTTTATTGTTCTGCTAATTACTCTGTTAAGCCTGTAAGTCATACTTCTTGGTTGTTTTAGAGATATGTATGTGCGTGAGGTATAATTTATCAGATAGCTGGTAATTGCAGTTGGAATGTGCGTCAGTTTCGGTGGAGTTTTGGGGGTTTTTTTCCTTCCACGTTATCTTTCTCGTCAATAAATCCGTGTGGGACAAACACGTGAGCGTAATTCATGACCTACTTTCACTTTCGTTTCTTTCGAAGTTAAAAGTTAAAAGACACTCTAATGATCACACCCAGAACTTAATCCAATACTGGATCATATAAAACGGTGACACTGTTCTATTCTGCTCATATTGTTGTATCCTTAAAGCAGCTTTGCTCAGTTGCCGGATTGAACGGCTGTCTTGCTGTCAATGATTACAGTCGAACACGGCCCATTGTTGGTGTTTATTGGATGATTACTGAGTAATCAAGCCGGTTCTAAGAAGCAGGTTTATAGGGTGTTTGAACCAGTTTGTGGACTTTCCTCACTGTCATCATACACACACACACATACTCTCTGTCTGTCTAATAAACCTTTGTTGTCTGTGTTCCTAGCGATTCACACTACCGGTGGTAATTCTAACGGTGCACCCTGCACGTTCCCCTTCCTGTACAATAACTCCTGGCACCACAGCTGCCTTCCTACCAGTGCCGCCAAAGCTCTCAGCTGGTGTTCCACAACTGAGAACTATGATGAGGATCACAAGTGGGGAAACTGTCTACTATATGGTGAGCTTACATCCTTCCTTCTTTTTCTGTTGTGTCTGAATAGTTAAGTGGTAGCTCAGTGGTTAAGACGTATCTGTGGGGTCAGTGGTTAAGACGTGTCGGTGGGATCAGTGGTTAAGATGTATCTGTAGGGTCAGTGGTTAAGACTTATCTGTGGGGTCAGTGGTTAAGACGTGTCAGTGGGGTCAGTGGTTAAGACGTGTCAGTGGGGTCAGTGGTTAAGACGTGTCAGTGGGGTCAGTGGTTAAGACGTGTCAGTGGGGTCAGTGGTTAAGACGTATCTGTGGGGTCAGTGGTTAAGACGTGTCAGTGGGGTCAGTGGTTAAGACGTGTCAGTGGGGTCAGTGGTTAAGACGTATCTGTGGGGTCAGTGGTTAAGACGTATCTGTGGGGTCAGTGGTTAAGACGTGTCAGTGGGGTCAGTGGTTAAGACGTGTCAGTGGGGTCAGTGGTTAAGACGTATCTGTGGGGTCAGTGGTTAAGACGTATCCGTGGGGTCAGTGGTTAAGACGTATCCGTGGGGTCAGTGGTTAAGACGTGTCCGTGGGGTCAGTGGTTAAGACGTGTCGGTGGGGTCAGTGGTTAAGACGTATCTGTGGGGTCAGTGGTAGCTTAATGGTTAAGACATTGGACTGCTGATCAGAAGGTCATGAGTTCAAATCCCAGCACTGCCTTGCTACCACTGCTGGGCCCTTGAGCAAGGCCCTTAACCCTCAACTGCTCAATTCACTATAAATTAGTGAATTGTAAGTCGCTCTTGATAAGGGCGTCTGCCAAATGCCATTAATGGAAATTACATTTTTTAAAAAAATATATAATCATAATTGTTTTGCAAGCTTGGGTGTAAACAGGACTAGAGCTGCAACAACTAATCGATAATAATCCATTATGAAAACCGTTGTCATCGAATCTCATTATTGATTAGTTGGTCTGCGTGGCACGGGAGAGATTTACTCAGCGTTACTTCTTTTCCGAAAACACACTTCATAGAGTAAATACAAAAAAAGTTGTGTCCTGAATGAAGTACTGTAGACTTACACTATGCATTACGTACTCTACCGTCTAGTGTATGCATTTTAGAAAGGTCATATCGTCTCAAATGGAACACTAGCGGTTATTTATTAACTGGCAATGCGCAATAAGCAATGCGACGCCGCTAGCTTTAGCCTAATACCCAGAGTCCCGGCCAATCACGTTCTTCAGTTAACTGTTCGTCAACGTTACCTTTTATAAAAAGTGATGCATAAATACTATTATGTAATATAAACTTGTATATTAGTTTATGTCATATATAAACCGTATATAGTCATATATATAACTGGACAAACAGTTGTGTAAAGTTTTAGTCTGAAGTTTATATTTGTAACACTCAGTTTGTGGATTTTATTTTAAATAAACCAAACAATGGTACTGAAAATTTACCCATCATCCGATTAATCGAAAAAACAAACGATTACAACTAATCGATTATGAAAAGAATTGTTAGTTGTATCCTTAAACAGGACTGTTTTTTTTTTTTTGTTCAATACCCACTGCTACTCGTTTCTGATTGGCTGGTAAGTATGTGCTAATTTCTTTTTTTTTATCAGGAGACGTCTAAAGGAGCTCCTGCCGTAAAACTTGGTCACAGTTCTAAATCAGCGCTCCTTATATTATGTGAGCATGTTGGAAGTGTAGCGACATCTGAAAACAGCAAACTCGGTGTGCTACATGATGACGCAGCTGGTTGGGTCGGGTCCAAGGTTCTATCCTGACATCACATGCAGTGTGTACACCGATCAACCATAATGTAAAAACCCCCGGCAGGTGAAGTGAACAATATTGATTATGTCATTACGGTGGCACCCGTCAATGGGTGGGATATACTGTATTAGGCAGTTCTTCAAGTTGACGTGTTGGAAGCAGGAAAAATGGCCGAGCGTAAGGATCTGAGCGACTCGGACAAGGGTTAAAGTGTAATGGCTAGACGACTGGGTCAGAGGATCTCTTTAAACGACAGGTCTTGTGGGGTTTTTCCTAGTATGCAGTGGGTAGTACCTTCCAAAAGTGGTCAAAGAAAGGGCAACCAGTGAACCGGTGACAAGGTCACGGGATCCCACCGAAGAGCTACTGTAGCACAAATTGCTAAAAAAAAATCAGAAAGTGTTCAGGAACGGTTTGAGGAACATGACAAAGAGTTCAAAGTGTTGACTCGCCTCCAAATTCCCCAGATCTCAGTCCGGTCGAGCATCTGTGAGATGTTCTGGACAAACATATCCCGCCTATGGAGGCCTCACCTTAAAGGCTACAGGACTTCAAGGGCCTGCTGTTAACGTCTTGGTGCCAGACACCACAGTACACCTTCAGAGGTCTCATGGAGTCCATGCCTCGACAGGTCAGAGCTGTTTTCGAGGCACGAGGAGGACTTGCACAACATTAAGGAGGTGGTTTTAATGTTATGGCTGATCGGTGTATTATGGCCTCGTGCCCAGAGTTCCCGGAATGGACCCGAGATCCATCATAACCCTGATCCTGGACATTATCTCTTACTTGAATCCCACGATCACACAATACATTTCAAAAGATTAGATATCAAATAACCGCACCAGTCCAAATCAGTAAAGCCCATATTAATAAAACAGGCTCTACACTGTATATAACGTACGTTACGGAGTGAGAAAAAGATTCTTGAATTGCCATGTAAACGTAAATACAAGTTCTGTCTCTCTCATTCTCTCTCTCTCTCTCTCCCTATCTATCTATCTATCTATCTATCTATCTATCTATATATATATATATATATATATATATATATATATATATATATATATAACACACACACACACACACACAACTCTCTCCCAACCTACGTGGTCACACTATAACGTCTGTTTCAGAGGAGGGATGTGGTGAATTATGGCAAGGCCCCTTCAATGGTCGATGTTACCAGGTGGTTTCCACCGCGATGGTATCTTGGCACGAGGCGCGGGATGCCTGCCGTAATCAGGGTGGAGACTTGCTCAGTGTATCCAGTCCTGAAGAACTGCAGAACTGTAAGTATGATCATACACAAACCAACCATTTATCATTGGCAGTGCAGTGAGGAGTATGACCTGTTCGCTGCTGTGCCTACTTTCACAATGGTTCATAATAGCTTGATTAAGTATCGGACGGTGCTATAATATTTCAAATGCTATTGCGTTGGTAATCGTAGGTGCATGACGTCCATGGCATCCATGACTACTTGCATTCTATGTAGGCCAGGGGTTCCCAAACCTTTTGGGCAAAAGGGCGTGAATTATTTGTTACCCCAAGCCTTGACCAGCCTACCTTTTTTTTTTTTTTTTACAATTTCACGGATTTTTATTGTCATTCCATCGACACGTACATGAGCTGGAACGGAATTAAGTACCAAAGGTCCGGTTAAATCCACTAACAAGTAATAATAGCTAACCCGCTCATCTTCCGGATGCATCTCCGGTACATCCGGAAGATTTAAAAGCGGCATCCACTATACAGCACGTGAGAGTCAACCCTCCCCGTCCATCAGGTTTCCAAGTCGAATTGTCAAAACGTTTAGCCGCTTTATTCGTATTTTTACTCACAGAGACGTGCTCATGGCTCATGACGTCTCGATTCAAGACCCCTTACATTCAAAACGTATTTAATCACCCAGAAGCTCCAGACCTTTCGTTACGTGTGAAAGCGGGCATGAGAGGGTTTTAAAATGCAAACACCTTCGAACTGTAAATCTGTTTAGGATAAGATTTGTCCGGTGTGTGGTTTTTTTTGTTTTGTTTTTTTCTTTCTTGCTTGGACTACAGTAGTGCAGCGTCAGGATCGTGGACAAAAGACTCAATTTAACATATTCGCGATTATATTAGCCCACAAAATCCATCTCCGATGTTTCTAATGTTCATTTGTAAAAAAAAATAAATAATAATAATAATAATCGAACGAAACAAAACGAGGTTTCTCTCGTGACCCCCGTTTTGTCTATCCAGCGGCCCCACCCCTAGTTCGGGAACCCCTAATCTAGACTCCTATTTCCTGTTGAAAGCCTGTAACTCTGTGGAACATTTTTTTTTTAGCTTGAAGTTTACCCGAGCATGCTGGGTTTTTTTTTTTTTCTTCTGAAAAGTATCCTTCGTTAATACTGAATCGATTATGACTGCCGCTTTTCAACATTTCAACACCGAAATCACTCGGAATGTCTTTCTGCATCTAAAAGTATCACAGGATTTTCCTGAGCAACTGTGGATCGGGCTGAACCAATTGGACTGGATGCAGGGGTGGCAGTGGTCAGATGAAACACCTTTAGTTTATTTCCCCGTGGAAGAAGGTAATGAAAGTTTATGTTACAAAGCCTTAGAAAACAACTGAACTGTTTTTGTTTGTTGTTGTTGTTGTTTTAAATCCATTTTAAGTTGAAAGTGAACCGCAGCCTGTAGCCCTTTGTATCACAGCAGGCATTCCGATTTGTTTGAAAATGGTGCACAGTGTCTGCCGTTGTTCTGGCTAGAGATTAGTCAGCCCCACCATGTTTGTGTAGTGCAAGTGTGTTAGTCTGTACCCTAAAGACAATAGACTTCTATTTGTTGTTGCCAGGGTCACTGTTGATGTGGATGCGCGCATGTGTGTGTGTGTGTGTGTGTGTGTGTGTGTATCCGTGTGAACAAATCTGCTGCTGAATAGGACCTTTATCCATTTATGCACGTCTTTTGAAAATGTGGTGGGACAAACATCTGTCCTTTTCATTGTGTGTGTGTGTGTGGTTTCATGAAACTATGCATGGTCTCGTACTTTCATTCGCTATGTTAAAAACGAGCAAACTGTGGTGTTTTCAGTCCAGCACACATGGATGCAACCAGAGTGTGGAGTAATGCACCCTAATTTGCGCTTCAGTAGCGAGTCGTGTGACAAGAAGCTGCCGTATGTCTGTGAGAAAAAAGAGGACGGCAACCAGTCAGAGACTACAGGTGGGTAGATAAAAGCACGAACACTACAGTGTCGCGGTGTACGACACAGTTAATCGATATTTATGTTCGTATCTCGCTCTCGCTCTAGATTACCAGGTGTACAAGGTGACCCAGTGCGAGAGTGGATGGTTCCCATTGCGAGGTTATTGCTATAACCTTTACGGAACCCAGGCGAAGGAAAAGAAGCAGTACGCACGCGCACAGGAAGTGTGTGTGGAAAACGGCGCTCAGCTGGCCAGCATCCACAGTGTGGAGGACATGCATATGCTCACCATGTATTTCACAGGAAGTAGGCATTAACCTTACTGAAGTACACACAAAGCTACAGGTTGTACCTTTTAGCAAAATGGCGTGACGCTAAATAGGAATGGTTCGTTTATAAACTCGCTTTGTTTTCAGGGTGAATGTTAAATCTGGGGTTTCTTTCACCTCACCTGAGAACGACCTTTTCAATAAAAATCTGTTCGGTTTTTCAGTATTTATCACGTTGTCATTTATCAGTATTTATCACGTTGTCAAGCTGAAAGACAACAACAACAACACAAGAAATCCAACTAGCACAGCAGTGTGTAGCCGCAAATAGACCGCGGTTTAGTTTAGTTTAGTTATGGTCAGCGATGCCATGTTCTCCTGTTAGATTTTTACAGCTGTGGTGGATGATAGCGTTGGGAACCTATTAGGAGACACAGCAGTGTAATGTGTTTACAACAGCAGCA